CAGCTTGAGGCTCTGTCTCAAAAAAAAAAAATAAAAATAAAAAAACAAACAAAAATGACAAAACCATTTCCTAGATTATTCAGTATGTTCTAGTGGTTTGTATGTAGTATAATGATTATGAAGAAAACTGGGCCTTTGAGGGGGGGAAAAAGGAAATTAATGTTTATTGAGAACATACTGTGTGCTAGTCAGACAATTTACAACTGTTATTTAATCTCTACTTCTATTTATGAGATAGGCATTTTAACATATCTGGAAATAGAGGTTTAGCAGTTCTAGAGGATTTGACATTAGTATGTGGCAAATGAGGATTAAAAGTCTGATCTCTGGTTCCACATTTTATTCCCTACCTCCCCTTTTTCTTCTTTAGCCCAGCAAGCACCCTTTTAGTATAGGTGTGGAATTTTTATTATTTATTTATTTATTTGAGACAGAGTCTCACTGTGTTGCCCTCATTAGAATGTGTGGTATTGCAGCTTACAGCAACCTCAAACTTACGGGCTGAAAAGATTGTCTTGCCTCAGCCTCCCAAGTAGCTGGGAGCACAGGTGCCCACCACAACACCCTGCTATTTTTTTGTTGTTGTTGCAGTTGTCGTCATTTAGCTGGCCCGGGCTGGGTTCGAACCTGCCAGCTTTGGCGCGGGTGGGTGGCGCCACACCATAACCACTGTGCTGCGGGTGCTGAGCCTAGGTGGGAATCTTTGATTAATTTCACTCTGCTTTCTTCCTTACAGTACTGAATTGTGAGTGACCTAGTTGTTTCCATATCAAACCCAATGATTTGAAATAACCATTAAGTAATTGAGAAGTTAAAACTCTTTCGATGGATGTAAGTTAGAAATAAAATTTAGAAGTAAAATTAACTCAATGTGTTGACTTTTTTAAAGTTTTAAGAGAGTAGAGTTTATTGGAGTTAAATAGCTGTTTTGGTTGTGATCTTATAGGTTGGGCCAGACATAATGAAAATTTGGGAGAAAAGCCCCCTTTTAAATTTTGGTGTGTGGTGTTCAGGTTGTGGTAGTATTTGCCATGCCATTTGATGAAGAGAAATTTCCAGATATAGTTTATCTGCTCTGTGGACTGAAACAAGCTCTTGACTATCTACTTTTCCTGGCCACTTTAGGAAAAAGCAGAAACAGAAGAAAAAAAGTTGCTAAAATAGTCTTTCATCACTTTGTTGAATTTGTTTTATATAATTACTTATCACTGAGAATGATTAGGCTGCTTGTCTGCACTGTAAAATTTTAAGATATTAAGATATTTACTTTTAAATAGCTTTTCCTAAAGAATTCTATTGAATTATACTTTGGAATCCTTTAACACTGAACACAAAGATTAGTTGTTAAAGTACATGGCCCATTCCTTTGTTATAATATTTTCATTTAAATAAATATTTGGAGTGCTTATTTTTCATAGGATTTTGATGTTTCTTGATTTAGGATTTGAGTAGATATCAAGTATTAGAATTAAAAGATTTTTCAAGAATTATTTTTCTTTATGAAACAAATATGTGGCTGTTGAATGCTTGTCATTATAAGTTAACTATGAACTTTAAAAATGTAATTCTTTTAATTCATTAATTCTTTGGTGTATGTTTTTTGCCTTAATCTTTTAAAATTTGAGAGTACTTTAGAAAAAAATGTTTATAGAGAAAGGAAAGCAAATTTAAATTAGCGACTTTGATTTCTTGTTAGAATTTTAAGCAATGGGTGTAGGAGAATCAATCAAAAGATTAAAAGAATCATTAAAAGATGATGGCTAACATTAAGTAGTATTCTAAGGAGGTTGTTTCTATCCTATTATAGGTAATCAAAAATCAGCAAAAATAACTTTTTTTTTTTTTAGGTTGAGACAGAGTCTCACTATGTCGCCCTGGATAGAGTGCTGTAGCATCATAGCTCGCAGCAGTCTCAAACTCTTGGGCTCAAGTGATTATCTTGCCTCAGCCTCCCAAGTAGCTGGGACTACAGGTTCCTGCCACAACACCTGGTTATTTTTTTGTTGCAGTTGTTAACTATTGTTTTAGCTGGCCTGGGCTGGGTCGAACTTATCAGCTTAAGTGTATGTGGCCGGCACCCTACCCACTGAGCTATAGGCACCACAGAGCAAAAATAACTTTTTAATAGTCAAAACTATCTCTAAACCAAAATCAAGACATTCAGTTTTACAGAGTAGTCATATTTTGAATAATAATTCTGAAGGTGGCAAGGAGAAAATGTATCAAATTTTTATTAATGGAGTACTTTTTTAAAACCTGAGAGGAAAATTATACAAAAATCAACAAAATCAGTTTGAATCTTAAAGATACACTTTCTGAGAATTTTTTTTAGGTGGATTGCCATTATACTCTATCATTGTGCACAGTAATTACATAGTATGGATGTTAGTCTGCCTTTGGCGTAGTGATATGGTAGTCCCCTGTTTATTGTGGTTTTGCTTTCCTCAGTTTCAGTTACTTGCAGTTAACTGCAGTCTGAAAATACTACATGGAAAATTCCAGATATAAACAATTCACTGGTCTTCCTTTGTCCATCTCATTCATTTAGCTACATGCTAGTCAGTTAGTAGCCATCTCAGTTATTAGATCAAAAAAACGTATCTGCAGTTTGAGGCATCCACCGGGAGTCTTGGAAAATATCCTCCGACCTCATGCATATAAGGGAGTGACTACTGTGACATCACCTCTTACAAAAGGGTTAGTTTTAAGTGTTATTCAACGTGCAGGATATTTAAGAATGAATGATAAGTAACTATTTTAAACTGCAGATTATAAAGGAGGTTTATACCTGTAATCCCAGCTACTGTGGAGGTGGAAGGATTGCTTGAGACAAGGAGTTTGAGACCAGCCTGGGCAACATAGACCCCCATCTCTACAAAAATAGAATTTAGCCAGGACTGGTGCCATAGCTAAAAGTATCTCCTACTCAGTAAGCTAAGTCAGGAGAATTGCTTGAGCCCAGGTATTCAGGCTGCAGTGAGCTATCATCGTGCCACTGTTCTCTAGCTTGGGCAACAAAGTGGGACCCCATCTTTTTTTTTGAGACAGTCTCAAGCTGTTGCCCTGGATAGAGTGCTGTGACATCATAGCTTACAGCAACC